CACCCCGCAAATCCGCCAAGTTCAGAAGGCTTGGGATGCCGCCACCCCCCCCCCCCCCGCCGGCATTGAGCGAGCGAGGAGCACATCGACGGCACCCCGCATACGAATCGCTACCCGGGATACGCACCTCGGCCTTTGAGTCGCCCCCCCCCCCCCCCACCGAAAGGGGTCGCTGGGCGTGTCCTTTTTTTCCGGGCACCCAGCCGAAATACCAGGGGTTACCCTCCCTCCCACTAACATAGCACCTGTGACAGGGTAATTGGAAGATCAATCTCCTCTTGTAGGGACCCCCTGTCAGGTGCCATGTTAGTGTTAGTGGGAGGAAGGGTACCCTTAGCAAGACAGACCCGTATGGTAAATAGCCCGTGCTGTTGTACTTGATCTAGGGGCCTGCCAAAGCTGGTGTTTTTCTGTTTGCTTGGGACTTGAGTCTCCTTCAGGTTGAGTGGATGGCTCGTGCTTTTTGTGGAAGCCCCCCATTTTTTGTAAGGCCAAGCACTTCTTGGGGTTTCCCAATACAAAACGAGTTGGCATTCGGAGAAAGCAGTGGGCTCGTCCAGACTTGAATTTCTGGCCTGCAAAGTCGGCTTAGATGATAGATGTTCTCCGGCACCCCATTCAGTTCTGATGAACACGTTGGACATGTAGAAACAACGCGCGCGCACAAATACATACAAATCAGATCATTTCTTGTTTCGCTAGTGAATTTGCCCTTTTTGAGGATCCCTGTCAAATCACTTTTACTAGCAGGTTCAATGTGGAGGTCTTTTTGACAACAGTTCGCAGATTCCTTGTAGATGTTTATCAATTTTAGGGACGATGTTGTTTTGTGCCCCCCTTCACACTTCAATCCATCCAAAAAGGATTCCCATATTGAGACAGAACCTGACTTAGGGGTAAACGGGTTGCAAGAACTGCTTGCAACGAACAATCATCATGTGTGCAATTTTTAGAACCCCTGTGTTGGGGCCCATTTGAGTGCTTTGCAAAAAAAGTGGAGCCCCTTTTGGCTGCTACTATTAAGGGGCGGCAAAAGGACACCCAAAATTTAAGGGCACCACTATTTTGAGAACCCCCTATTGAGGTTCACCCAGCTTGGTTTTCTCTTGAAACCAAGGCATGCACCACCAACCAGCCAGCCAGCCAAGCCACCCACCCACCACCCCACCACCCCACCACCCCACCACCCCACCACCCCACCACCCCACCACCCCACCACCCCACCACCCCACCACCCCACCACCCCACCACCCACCCCACCACCCCACCCCACCACCCCACCACCACCCCCACCCCCCCACCCCACCACCCCACCACCACCACCACCCCACCACCCCACCACCCCACCACCCCACCACCCCACCACCCCACCAATTCAACCCAACCCAACCCAGCCCAACCCAGCCCAGCACAGCCCAGCCCAGTTGAGCCCAGCCCAGCCCAGCCCAGCCCAGCCGAGTCCAGTCCAGCCCAGCCCAGCCCAGCCAAGCCAAGCCCAGCCCAACCCAACCCAACCCGACTGACCCACCAACGAACCAACCAACCAACCAACCAACCAACCAACCAACCAACCAACCAACCAACCAACCAAGCAACCAAGCAAGCGACCAACCAACCAACCAACCAACCGACCAACCAACCAACCAACCAGCCAACCAACCAGCCAACCAACCAGCCAACCAACCAGCGAACCAACCAAGCAGGCACCGCCACCACCCCCGGATGTGGATCTGCCAGGTCCGCTTCCACCTGCGCTTCCGGGAGATCTTGGCGCCCTGGAACGAGGCGGAGCGCATCCGGCTGCTCCGCAGGCGGGGCTTGGCATCAGAGGTCCCCTTTCTGGGTGGTTCCGGTCCGAGCCCTCCGCCGAAGAAACCGTCTTCGGGGATGCCCGAAAAGGAAACCATAGGATGGAGGGTCTTGAGAAGGGGGTCGCTCCAACTCGATTTTTGCTTTGGACCAGCAAGCTGTGGATGGTTTCGCGAAATCCGCGAGCCTCGCACCATGGTTAGTGAGACCATAAAGCCAGAATGCTTGTTGGTGTTTACCTTGGGAATCATATCATTCCAGGGTTTCTTTGATAGCGCAAATTGGACTTTGCCTCTCCCCGCGAGGGTCTAGACAACGGTTTGGATGTGGCGAATCTCCAGATCCAGCCCTGTAGGCTATTGACAGAGTACTCAAGGACCACCAAACAAAAATCGGAACCCTTTGGATGAGAATTGGAGACAGAAGCCGGTCTGGCTGAAAGCTGCTGAATACTGGTTGATAAGCCACCAATCCCGAGTGGTGCCGATTCTAGCGCGAATTTTAAGTCCATCCACATGGGTGTGTTCCTCTTGAAGGGATCCATTTTGGACAGCTACTCGGGGAAAACATCTAAGACAGAAAGAGGTAGAAAGCCCAGCCTGACTCCCAAAGCCTCGCATTGACTCATCTCTTCCAACCAGAGGTGCTTGTACATACCCCTTTTACATACCCCTTGGACAAATGAACCCAAAAGGCCTGATGTTCATACCCCTCTCCCCAAAAGGGGTTTATACCCCTTGTAAAGTGGGTTAACCACGGAAGCCAAGGAACCGGTATGAACAAGGGCTATGTACTTCCCCGGAAAGCCCAAAGCCACTTCTGAAACAACAGGCAACCAGGAGGGCCCCAACGGCCCCCAACAGCTGTTTCGGACCCTCGCTGAAAGCTGCCCACCCCAAAGGAGCCCAAAATTCCGGGCCGACCAAATCCATAGCTTGCGCGATCCAACCCCTTTCTCTAGAAAACAGTTTGGATTTGTGTTTTTTGCAGATGTTATTTTCCGGTCTTCCCCATAATGTCCTTTCAGGGGAAATAGATGGCCCTGGTAGATGATTTAACCACCAGGCAAACCAGGTCCATGTATTTTTTGACCAAAACAACCAAAAAGGACGCCTCCGTCCCCGTTTGGCCCATTTCAGGCATTTGACAACGTCTTTGTTTTGGTACAGGGTGGAAGGGTTAGGTTTTTCTTTGACGTGGAGGACTCTATAATCGCTAAACCACCCCTGAATTTTTGTACGAACCTCCGGACAATTCCGAAGGTGACATTAATGTTTGCCTCAGGTGCCTTTTTCAGCGTACATTGAAGAATCATTTTTCCCCGAACTTTTTCTGATGGGATCAAACCAGTTCATCGCTTAGTGGAGTGGGTCGTTCGCAGCAGAAATCTTTCCAAACGCCTCCAGAGACAAGCCAAGTCTAATGTGCCCTATAAGTTATAAGTATGAATTTAGTAATTCTCGGACCCCTTCAGAAGTGGCTGGTGGAAATAAACCCGAAACTGAATGATGTTCACATTCACATGGGCCGGTCATTCTTGTGGGTACTCTTTTTGGTTTAAGGGGAAGCGAAAGGACACCAAATCCATTTTTGGGGTCCAAATCCTCAAAAGGACGAGCTACTCATATCCCTACTGTGGATGGTTGCGAACGGCATTTCACACCACCGTTCAGAAACCCAACGGAATGATTTGATTCCCCGACGCAAATACCACCAAATGTCATGGTTTTATTCCTATGGTTTCATTTCGCGGTGCGGGACTCACGGATTTTGGCGAAGTCATCCAAAACTAGCTGGGTGTCAGCAGGGAATGAGTTGGAAGGACCCGTATAAGTCATCCATGCTATGGTTTTCTTTATTCGCGGTTCATTCAAGCAACACCCGGCAGTAAGACAAGATCCCGCGATGTTCGATGTTTAGGGTAGAAGTTTTAACTCGCAGCCAACGGGAAGCCTAAATCCATTTTTTTGGGGACCCCAGATACACACATCCCCTCCAAGAACAAAGACGAGCACCGTTCCTAAGGGTAGCAGCTGTTTTGGCGATCAAAGAGTTTGACCCAAGACGGGGGGCCACTGAACCGAAGCCTCAAGGCGCATGCGGAAGTTTGTGAAGTTGCACCGCTTGGTCGAGGATGGGGGTTGGGTCAGGGCGGTTTTCTTGCGATCGGTTCGAGAGATGCAGGGAATGAGACATGGAATGACCCGGTTCATTCCCAACACCGGGAAGATCATTCACTGAGCACCCGCAAGCTTTCTCTTTTTATTGGGTGGTGTTTTGGGTCAAAGAAATCGATGTCCCCGCCCTTGAAAAACGAGACTATTTGTGCGTCCGGTGATGTTTAAGGTGGACACATAGGGATGCTGTGACGTGGCTGGCGGTCAGACACGGAGCACCTGCGCCAGCGAAACACTACAACTGGATGCACAAGCGGCGCTGGGCGCGCCGGCTTGGGTTGTATCTTCCCTAAGTCCTGGGGCTTGGTATGTAGAAGACGGGAGTTCCCAGGCCTTGCCCCGAGTTGAACATCTGGGGTCTCAAAACAGGTGGTTTTTGGAGCCCCAAAATCCATCAGGAGCCTTGCGGTTGAGACACATTGCGGAACTTTTGAGGAGGCCCCCGTTTGAGAAAGGCTGAAGCGCGCGCAAGCTGGGTAAGAAGTGCTGCTTCTGCAGCCAAGAATTGAGGGGAACCCCCAAAAGATGGGTCCGAATGAAGCCACCAAGGGCCCGCAGGCTTTAGTCCTGGTTTCTATTTTCCAGGGCGCTTGCCATTTTGGGGTGACCCTGTTTTTTACTCACGTCCGTGTGGTTTCCCTTGGACACCCCCAAACATACTTGCTGGTGAAGGGCAGGAAATGAGGGACTGACCCTGGTAAACCATCCAACAAGTGGTTTCCTTCAAGCAAACCCTGGGTTCCTTCCCTCATTCCCTACCTATCGCACCGATCGCAAGAAAGGGGATACCTCCAACAAAGCGTCCCTTTGCTTAAGTTTTTTCTCTTTTCCCCCTGTTTTTTTGACTCGATTTCGCCACTGGACACACTTTCATTTTGTTTTTCTTTCCGGGGGCAAACAAGCAAACTTTTCCCCCTGGTTCTTTATTGGGACTCGATTTCGCTACTGGGCACATGAACATGAACGAGTGTCGCCCAAGCCCAAAGCCTCAGGAGCACAGGTGTCCTTTTTGGTTGTTTTGGTCGAAAAATACAGATGGCGATTCCTGGTTTTTAACAGTTTTTTTTTCATCTACCAGGGAAACCCATCTATTTCCCCCTAAAAGGACACCTATGGTGGCAGTTGTTTGGGTGATCAAAGAGCTTGACCCACGGGGTGCTACTGGACACGTGTTCACGTGTTTTTGCTCTATTATTTTTCCTCCTGGGGCGAACGAGCAGCGGAAGAAGCGAGTCCCACGAGTCCCACGCCCAAGCCTCAGGAGGGCATTGCGAAGCAAGTCTTCTGCGCCCATCACTGGCACGACCTCACGAAGTTCCGGCGCGAGAAGCGCTGGAATGCGCCCCGGTAATTCGGGGGCCAAGGGAGCGAGGTGGCGTGAGAGACATCTATCCGAAGACGCCTCCGTGCTGTGCGTTTGTTTGTTTGTTTGTTTGTTTGTTTGTTTGTTTGTTTGTTTGTTTGTTTGCTGGTTTTGTTTGTTTTTGCGGCTGATCATATGGTGTTTCCCACCAAATAGGAACAGATAGCCATGGTAATTCGGGGGGCCGAAGGGACTATTGATCAACCTGCACTTGCCTTCGAGTATGTTTGAGACGTGTCGTTTGGGCTCTGTTTGCAAAGCTTTGCGACAAAGGGTTTCTGGTTTCTGGAACTTCGTTGGATGCTTAGCAATCCGCTTCAGTCAGGCAACCCGTAGGCGGTTTGGATTGGCGCTTTGGATTTGGATTTGAACCCACCATCCCAAACCACCGAAACCACCGGGATCCCAAACACCACTTGGGGGGAAGCGAAGAACGGGGCCACAACCCCTTTCCGAAGCCACAGGGCTGTGGCTCAAAAAACCGGTACCAAAATGGAACCCTGGTAAGTGGAAACATGGACCAAAACCTGCGTAACCCCTCCTGTCTAATTCTGAGCCACGCCCACAGGTCAAAATAATAACCCGGCCCCCAGTTGGGGGACAGCTGGTCTGTTGTGTAAGTCTGAGCCGTGTGCAGTTTTGCTCTCCGCGTCATGCGGGGAGAATTGGGCGTGTCGCTTTTTGAGTAAGCTTTTTGAGGCTCAAAGGGACCAAATGGCAGTGGCTCAAAAAATGGTACCCAAAAGGAGAACAAAGACTAAAACCTGCGTAACCCGAGCTGTTTCTATTTGAGCCACACCCAGTTGGAAGGCAACCCTAAAATAGGGGCCCCCCAAATTCCAAGATTGCCAAGACAATTCGGTGGCACTTCCCCGAGCCCTTTCGCGCAAGGATCCCTTCGCGTTGCTGCAGTGGCCGAGTGAAGAGATTCCGGATTGCATCTTGGGATCTGCTAATCAGAGGGCGGGTGCCATGGACGCCTAGAGTCCATTCTGCACTGTTGACTCCCAATTCATAAACCCACACTTGTAAATCAGGGATGTCCGCCTGGAAGGAATCACCTCTCCGCAGGGTTAAAGAAGCAATACCCTAAAAGAAGGAGGTGGCAAAATAGGCCCTAAGTGTCCAACATACTGTTGGGGCTTTGGTGCGAGCAATGGAACCCCAAAGGGAATGGGTCCAGAAGCGGGTCAAGCCGGGTTTCAAGCATTTCAGCTTCTGCCCTGGACCCTCGTGTTTCCGCTTTCTTTGGCGTGTGGAATTAGAAAGAACCTTCGGGATGTTCCGTGCAATTTCTTTGGTGGGTCTACTACTTTTATTTACTTGTGCAACAACAATTGGGTGACTCGTCTTTTTTGGGGCACCCCGCTTTTAGTCTTGGTCTTTTTATGGATTCGAACGCAAGAGGATACCAACCATTTTTTTGGGGCCCTGATTGAGACACCCGTCAGTTGCCCAAAGCGAATCGACCTTTTGACCTTTTGGCCTTTTGGTTTTTCAATGTTGGTCCATGTTTAGTCAAGGTCCCCAAAGGTGATCAGCTTTTATCTTGGCGCTTCCCAGCCGTACGTTCCCTTGAGTTTTTAGGCTTGTAGTTGGTTTAGCGGTTGGGTTCCGGTATCCAACCTGCAAGTTAAAGTCTCTTAGCAGGGGCCAGAAAACGGACAGCCCAGTAACCTTTGGTTTCCGATGTTAGTCCATCCCTAAAAGGGATGCAAGTGGGTCGAGGAACCCAGCGTAAATCCCAAGCTCGACGAGCTCGCTGGGTCCAAACTGGGCGGGTGAGACCCAGCCGAGGCATTCAGCTTTACTTCGGGCCCGACGTGGCCTTCTTCTTCCACTGGTTCAACGCCTACACGCGCCCCGGCTGGAAAAGAAACCGGAGCGTTGGGTGAGGGTTCCCTAGACTTCCCCGTAACACCGCGAGCTCGTCTTGAATGCCGAAAGGGCGATGTTTAAGACCAGGGCATGCCTGCTTGTACAGGGCCCATTTCTGTTCAACTTCGAGGGGTCAAAGTTGGCGGCCGTTTGGTCCTTCCCCCGAATCACTGGGCCGAACTCCTGCACCACACAAGAGAAACCATGGTCGACACCATAACGTTTGTTGGTATTTGTTGGGATCCACAGTAGGGCTTGCATTTGGCAACGGGAGCATCCGGATGCTCGGCTGCACGAGCTACCTGGAGCCCAACGCCAACCAGCATTTCGTGCTTGCAAACCGCATGTGCCTTCGAAGAGGCATCGACCCAAAAAGGCCCCAATATGGGTGTGAATATTTGTTCAGGGTCCCCCAAACCAAAAGTGAATCTCCTTTTGGTCTCCCTTCAAAATCCCGCGAAAAAGGGGGGTATCGTGCAAAAAACAGGGGGCACACCCATGTATGAATCCCAGACCAAGCCCAAGGCCAGGCTCCCTGGGAGTCGATTTCCGCGCCGAGGCGTTGGCTCTTGTGCCCGGCCATACTGTCCATGCCCATCTTCCTGCAGGAGCAGGTCGCTGCCAGGCCGATGAGCTGGGGAGGCCTCACTCCCTGAGTTCCACTTCGGCACTTTTTGGGTTTGGGAAGGCCATTTTGGCCAACCGCGTCATTTTCGAGCACTTCATTTTAGGCGAACCACGCCATGTTTTGGGTTTAGCTTCATGTTCGTGGCACACTTTTAAAAGTTTGGGGACTTTTTTGGGACCACTCGATCGGAAGAGAGTTTGCAAGCTTGGGTGGCAAAGAGGATATCCCAGTTGCTCAAAGCGAATCGATTTTTCTCGATCTGATCCTTTGGTTTTCCTTTTTGGTCCCTTGGTTCAGGTCCCAAAAAGTGAACCTTTGGTATTTCTAGGTCCTTTGGGCAGCCCTTCGAGAGTCTTTGATTGGAGACTTGAGATGTGCACGTTAGATTCCTGTGGGGCAATGGATGTTTCTGCAATTGGGGTCATTGGGGGGTTCTTGAGAAGTTGCCTAGCAACATTGCACGGCTGTTGTTCTAATCTGCGGCAAGCAAAGCTCATTCCGAGCTGGTGTGAAGTGTAGCGACTCGAGGTTGGAGGGCTTCACTCATGTGCGTCCCTTTGATTTCAGGGGGTGATTTTAAAGGGAAGCCAAAAGGACGCCAACCTTTCGTTTGGGGTCGCCAAAAAGAGGACACACCCAGATGTTCGTCTAACGCGGGAAGTTTCTATTTTGACTCTTGAGAAGACCGGTCATCCAACTTCATGTGAGCGTGACAGAATCCAGAGACCTGATTCTCCCAACCCACGTGGGCGTTCCTGCGCAGGAACCAGGAAGCTTGGCAGTCAGCACGCCGGGACAGGGCGGGGCATTTCGCTTTTTGTTTTGAGTTGACCCATTTGGGGGCCATTTCGCCTAAAACCAACCAACAGCGGAGGCCAGAAAAGAAAAGAAAAAAAACGGACACGCCCTCTTGTTTATTTTTTTCTTATTCACTGTTTTTCTGCAGCTGCTCTTGGAGGTTTGGGGTTAGACTGTCAGGCCCTGAAGCCTGGCCACTTTCCTTTTTTTGATCCGAAGGCAAAGGGATTCGTTGGGGCCAGGTGGGTGTGGCTCAAAGTTAAAGAGCTAGGGTTGCGCAGGTTTGAGTCTTTGGTCTCATTTCCCAAGGTGCCATTTTTGTACATTTGTTTGAGTTCACCGCCAAGTGACCCAAGTGATTGACTTTGCCCTGAAAGTTGCGCGCTAAGTGCCGGAAGAAGGCCTCTTCAGGAAGCACCTCAAGCGCAGTCCGTGGGTAGATTGCAACCAACATGAACAGCTTGAAACGCTGTAAGCCCGTCCATGGGCTGAACTCATGCCAGCGTGTGTTGTTACCTGGTCATGGTTGTTGTTGGGAAACATTGGACACATTTTTGCTTGTTGTGGTTTAGTGGTTGAAATCTTGCAGGTAAGTGCTACAATTCAAAGTTTGCTCCCCTTCCAGCCCCAAACCCGAGTGGTGCTTGGTGTTTTTCTTGAGCTCCAAGGACAATGACCGCTGGTGGTAGCCACCTGGTTGATCTCGGGCCGAGGCTTTGCACCAACCCCGAAGCAAACACAAATCCCGGTGCCAAGGGCTTGGCTTCGCGGAACCTGAAGGGGCCTTCCGCTTGGGTTCGCATGTTTCGCCACGCTGGCGGCTGCAGGGGTCGCGCAGTTTCCAGTTGCGGGGGTGGCTTTCGGCCCCTCAAACTGGGTGCGCACCGGAGCCCGGGTTGGCGGCCTGTCCGATCAAAGAAAGGAAGGCGCTTTTTGCAGGTAAGCGTACGTGGAGCAAACCGAAGCACTTGGCTATTGTGGGCTCCCTCAAGGGGACAGTCCATTTGCCTGGCATGCCCTTTCTAAGATTTCCAAATTTGTGAAATGGCTGTGATTGTGCCCCCAGTTCGTAAAAAGGGATTGTTTTGTATTTGGCTGTGGGCAACGCATCCGTGCAATGCCGTGAGCCAGACTCGAGCAATGTTGTTGCATGGGTGTCTTTTTGGCTTCATGATTTCTTCTCCGGCTCAGCTATTCCGAGAATTGGATGTCGCCAAAATGGCCAAACATCCGCGCATCTTTGGGCCCTGGTTCTTCAAGCGGTACCTTCCCCAAAACGGCCGTTCGGTTTTTGCACAGAACGATAGGTTGAAAAGAATGGCAACCAACCCCTACCATGGATATGGGTATGTGTCAGAATGGGGACCCCAAAATGGTGGTTGATCAAAATGGCTAGTTGCCTGCGTTCACTTCCATTGGTTTGTTCTTAGCCTCCTCCAAATGGTTCCATGGTTGGCTGCCTTTTGAAAAAGCTTGGTGAACTGAAAAATGGGCCCACCACCTCAAAAGGGCCATGGTGAGCTTCCTTTGAACAAACACGTTTTTTTGTTTGGTTTTTTTTCTTATTATTGAGACACTCTAAGGGGGTTGGGGAAAAGGGGCTTGGTGGCCCAATTCGCAATCCCCACCTCAGCCAAAGGCGCTCTTCTCTCGTGCGAGCGAGCGCTTCGGTCGATGCCCGCCGAGTGACCTGGCCTTCGCGGCGGTCCTGGCGCTGTGGTCCACCGCCTTCGTTTCAAGGCCGACCGGTCGACGGAGCTTTCGCTCATTCCCCACAATGGTGGGGGGGTGGGGGGGTGGGCGTTTGGGAAGGAGCGAATTTTCACCTTTTGAGCAAGCTAGAGTTTCCGAATTTGGAAGCTGTTCAAAGAGGGATACCTGATCCCAAATCGAAATTATCTGCCACATCCGGATCGATTGCGGCCCACTTTTGGGCCATTCCGTGTCGCTGACAAAGATGTTGCCGGAGAGGGGGTTGAGCAAAACACATTTGCTGGCCGCCAGGTACAAACACTACAAGAACCTCAAGGCCAGCTGCTTCGCTTGGGCTCAGGAAAGGTTTTGATACTGTGGATGGACCCATTCTTTCCAGGGATCCGAATCTTTCTAGAAAACCTCCGGAAACCCATGGAAACGGCCGGTTTTTGAAAAGAAACATGGCTGGAAGGAATGGGGAATCAAACCTTTAGAAAAATATGATCAAGCAGTGTCCTGGCATCCGAGCATCCGGCAACCCCCCAGTTTTTTTCAGGTACCTTGCATAGAACCGACTTACTGTGGATGGACGAAATCCAGAAAGCACACCACCTCAGACACCATGGTTGCAACGATAACGTTTGTTGGTATTTACGTTGGGGAATCGAAACTTATCGAGGGTTTCTCCTCGGTGGTGCACTCGAATGCACCTCTTTTTTCCCCTTCCGCGCTATAGGACACGTGGGTGACATGTGGGTGTGGGTGAAAAATAGGTACCCAAAATGCAACCCTGGCAAATGGAAACACTGACTAAAACCTGCAGTCGCCTGGCATTATTTTGACCCATACCCATCTGGGAACCCCCCCGCCCCCCCGCCCCAAATGCAGGTCACCTTCTCCCCCTTGTCCCAAAAACCAGCCTGAAAAAGCTTGAGGGGTCGCCTCCCAGCTTGTGGGTGACATGTGTTTTGGCCCGGGACCATTTGGTCGGCAGGTCTTGAAGTGGGGCATGAAGGACTACGACCAGGGCGTCGCAGAAGTGCGCAGGCGGGATCCGCTCCCTTGGGCGAAAGGGCTTTTGGGGCGTGGTGTCTCCTTCGGTCCGTTGGGTTGATTTTAAAGGGAGGCCAGAAGGACATGAGCCATTTTGGGAGTCCCCCAAAAAGAAATGTGGGACCAGTTACTTGCCGGAGTTGGGCGTGTTTGTTGTTGTTGTACACTTTTGGGGAGATTTTGCGGGGAAATGAAAGGGACCGCCGCCAGCATTTTTGGGGTGGACACACAGGACCCACTTGGCCAAACCATCCTTCCCTCCTTGCTGGCAGTTCGGCTAATGGCATGAGCAGCCAGATGTGCTTCAGGTCGGTTTCTCAAGGATGCGGGTGTTGCCTTGCCCGTTTCGCACTTTGGTGCGAAGCACGAAAGGAAACCTCATTGCTATTGCGAAGCATTCATGAGCAAAGAGCCAAACTCCAACTAGACCGGCGCATGGGCATATGTCAACTGGGAATTGACAGGTTCACACGCACTGCGGATCCTGTTAAGATGTGCGAGCTTGTGGTTGAAACAAGGCCATTGGCATCATTCCATATTTGGTCCAGGTACCTCAGTTTTACGCGACTTAGTTCCAGGCTCTCGCTCACAAGGAGCTGCATACTGTGGTCGGTGACATGCATGAGTTCGGAGAGACATCCGCACTTTCTACTCTCGAAAGAAACGCTTCCACGAGGTTTCTCAGAACCTTTTCCCGGGGTAGGGTGGCTGGTTCCCCACCAAGTCAAACCTTTGGGCAGGGCCCCTTCTGGTTGGTTTAAGGGAGAATCAAACCAAGCATTTTGGGAGGTCGCTGGTTTTAGAGGGCAGTCTGTTTGGGTGACGTTTTGTGCTAGGCATTTTGGCGACAAAAAGACAGACTTCTTTTGATGGTCATGTTGGGTTGAACAAAACGACACACCCCAGTTGATGGTGTCGTTTTTTTGGGAGTGGGGTGGCTGTTTCAAGATAAAAAGACACCCCCCGCCTCATTTTGGGTGGTGGGTTGAACCAAAAACGCCACATCCCCCCCGCCCGGCGTTTTTGGTTCGGGGCGTCAGGGAGTTCCGGGACGACTACCGGGACACCTGGCCAGAAGCCTTGCAGAAGCTGCTGCACTGGACCGGGCGGGGCAGTTGGGGGCGCGGTGGCGGTGAATATGTTCCAACGCATTGGCAAACATGGTGCCCAGATGTTAGACCGCGCATGCTGCTTGACAAAAGGCACTCCTTGGCTGAGAAAGCTTCCAAAGGTCAAGGCATGCACGACACATGGCTAAGGGGGCTTGACATGGAAACCGCCCGAACCAAGACACGCAAGGAAAGTGGCTTGGCAACAGAGACTAACTTGTGGCCAATGTTTTCGGGCTTGTTTTTCTTTGAGCCAAAGCCACACTTTAAAGCTGACTAAGCGCAAACACCCACATGGAGAGGCTCTCACGCTGAGAACCTGTTAAAATTCGTTAAATGTTGGGGGGTTTGCGGTTTTCAGACGGGCCGGCACCTCGAAATGTGAGGTACGTAGATGGCCATGGGTCAAAATAGGGAACATCCCAATCCCCACTAAAATAGGTTATAAACTGGGTGGTGCACCTACCCCAAAATGGGATCCCATTGGTTTTGACCCACAGCCATATGGCAATCTGGAAACACAGGCGCAAACCTGCGTTTTGCCCCAGCTGTTTAACTTATCAGGCAACCCCTCCTTGGTTTCGGGGTGGAGGTTTGAACCACCCCACCACCAAACCACCGATCCAAACTCACCAATGATTAGCTTCCCTCCTATTGGTGTTGTGGATTGGTGGTTTGGATTGGTGCTGGATTCTTTTCTTGGTGGTTTGGATTTGGATTTCAACCCCTGGTTTTTGAGAATACATGGAGGGAAGATTAGGGGTTGCCTGATAAAATAAGCAGCTGGGGCAAAACATCGCATATACCCTGCCATTTTGGGGAGTCCATTTTTGGAGCCACAGCCAGAGAAGCGGGTCCAAGACGAGCAGGTTGCGTTAATTTCTTCGAGCCTTGTTGGGGTCGCTAAGCATTTGCTCGCGATGCTGCCATCTTTGTTTAATTGAGGCCAGTCTGTCGTTGTTGCTCGATTCTTTGTTGGGTCTTCCATACTGTGGATGGACGAAATCCATTCGCACCAGCTCAGCAACCCAACGGAATAACTCGATTCTCCAACGTAAATACCGCAACAAAACCGTCTGGTTTCCGTTTCAACCATGGTTTCATTAACCGTGGTGCGTTCGCGAAACCACCCACAGCAAAACAAAGCACGGGCGCCCCCTGCTCAGTAATATCATATCCCCAATAAAACAAGTACCAGCAGCGAAGACACGAAGTGGGTCCAAAGCGAGAGCCGCGCAGGATACTCTGCCTCGTCTTTATGGCCGAGACCGTGCTCGTGACTTTGTGGGCCAGCGGGCTGCAAACAGAAAAAAAGTAAACGCGCGCCCGGAGCTGACTTCGCGAAAGGCAAGGCCCCACTTTTGGATTCGCCGAGAGGGACACCTAAACCCATTGACACGCATGGCATTCTTTGCACTCCAAGCTGATTGCTGCCGCCGCTTTAGAAAGAGACTGCCATTGTTAACGGATTTTGATTAGGCCTTGAATCAATAGTTGATCAAGCCCTGAAAAGGAAAGCATGCAAAACACACAGAGACAACCCATCCCCAAATCTAGCCCACATCATTCCGAAATACGATGTTTAAGCCCACTGTAAATCATGACACACATCAAGCCAAGCCAAGCCAAGCACGAGCCCAGGCAAAATGGCGCCCTATGCCAGCCCCAAGCCCACTTCCTTTTCACCTGCAGCTTGCACCCTCAGCCAACCCCACGTCTCGAAATACATTCCAATCCTTCCCCCCACTTGGAAGAAATAACACTACGAAAGCTAAGATCAGATTCTCCGGGTATTTTGCTTGCTTGTTCTCAGCAAGGAATTGGTGACCCCTATAAACAATCCACCATCCTATTCCTAAAAATCAACCACCCGGAAACCCGGAAGTTCCTTCCCTATCGCACCGACCGCAAGACAAGATCCCGCGCTGCTCAGGGTAGAAGTTTTGTAGAGGGAAAGCACCAGGAAACCAAATAAGAAAAACATTTTTTTTGGGCCCTTAAAAAAGCCACAAATTCCCTTGGGGGGTCCGCTTAAAGAAAAGCAAACATATCCCCCAACAAAAACGACCAGCAGCGTTCCTAAACGTAGAAGCTTCCCGAGGCGGGGTCCCCTTGTAACACAAAAATAACATCCCCCCACCACAAAAAACAAATAATTGACCAGCCTAAGAGATCCATTTGTTTTGTTGGGAGGGGGGTCCAACCGAAAAAAATCAAATCGCCTCCCACCGCACGCGGCCTTCCCGTTCTTTCGTTTGTCCGTTATTCGTTTGTCGAGGTGAGCGAGTGGCGGATGGAGGCCCAGATGAACCCCAACGGCTACACCTGGGGCCTGCGGCCGCGTGGCGCCGAATCTGTCGCGCTTTGCTCGCCCGAGGGAGCGGTTTTGGGGATTGGGGGGCGCCCCGTTTTTCTTTTTTTTGTTTTCGCGAGGGCCACCGAAATGCAGCCATGCTTAGGCAAACAAGTCCACCCAGGTGTTTGCGGTCCGTCTGACCCATGCCAATGTTGAAGATGTTCGTTATCAGATGGAATGACACCTGTGGGACAGGGTGCTGGAGGAGCGTGAGACGGCTACCAAACACCAGGGCAATCCACATGTATCTTCAGCGGGCCCCGTAGCATTCTGAGTGAATGCTCCGTTGAGCCCACCAAGTTTCGCCATCAAACCACTCAATTCTCAGGGAGATCGCACACGACCATGATCTGTCGCAATTTTGCAGATGTCAAAAGTTGGGCGAGGGGGGGGGATTTGTTTGTTTTTTTTTACCCAGCACAAGACAAGCAGTAGACTAGACCTTATATCAGGGGGCTCAATCATTACGCACACATGACCGATTTGGGATCCTGACTAAATTGTGTGTTTTAAGTACCCACAATTTGTGTCTCTTTTAGGGGGACTCCCCCCCAAAATGGCTTCGGTTGTCAGCTTGTGGTTTCCTACCAGAAGCCACCAAAACACGGGTACCAACTCCAGAAACGACGAAGCCCACCAGGTTTCTTCACCACCGGCTTCAGGGTTTGGCCCAAGCGGGCGGGTAGAGTCCATGGGCCAAGCTCGGGCCAGCGCCGGGTTTGTGAAGCCGGGTGTCCGGTGCCTTCCGATGGTTCCGTGTTTTCGGTTTTTCTCGGACTTAGGAGCTATCACATACGGAACTACTACACGCCCCTTGGCAGCGATCGCTGCTGATAGGAGGATTCGGGGGGGTGGATGTCTGGCGAGAAAGGCATGGGCTGGGCATGTTTTTTGTCTTTGGAGGGTAGGCTTTTTGCGTGCGTTTGCCAAAAACTATGGACGCCGCACATGTTGAACCTTCCCGCGATTTGGAGACAACAAGTCCTGTCGCCGATGTAGGCAGATTCCGAGGGATGGGCTTGGTGAGTAGCACATGAGCCAGTGGTAAAGCGACGAGTTGGGTGTGTCTTTCATTTTGAGTGAGCCCCCGCTTCAAAAAGCTGTTCTCGTCTTCTTGTAAAGGCAACCCACCCCAAAAAGCGTACCCCCCCCCAACACAAAAAACAAAAGGAGACGAAAAGGGGAAAAAAAGGAAAAGAAGAGACCCGAGGCGCCCAATTCTGTATGTTCTCTTTGGCCAAAAATCCCTCCACGGCGAGTGTTGCTGCTTCGGGCCCGGAGAGGAACATCTCTTGCGCTTCTCCCGTTCCCACCAAAGCAAATAAGAACAAGGAGGTGCGTTTGGGACAGCGCCATAGTCACCAGATCTGCACACTTGGTGTTGTCAGGCATGGGCACCCTGGCACCATGCATACTAGGTGGTTGTCACGATCTTCTTGAACTTCAAGGGTGCTGAAGCAGCTAATCAGACTGTTCGTGCGCCACTGCCATTCTGATCTTGAAGATTTCAAGGGTGTGTATGCTCGTTTGGAGAACCCGACTGTCTTTATGAGACCTGGCAGAGGCTCAACATCTCAAAAAAAAAGAGAGGAAGGAATCCCGCAACGGCAGCTTGGCCAAGAAAGGAAAGACGACACACCTCATTGGCTCAAAAAAAGAAGAGAAGGAATCCCACCATGGCAGCTTGGCAAAAAAAGGAAAGACGACACACCTCCGTTTTGCCCCCTCGGCTCTTGCAACTTGTTGAGCCGCCTGGAAGACGTGCGTACTGAGCCGCCTGAGGTACGTCATTACGGCCAACATCAAGCTGGTAGATTGGCTTTGGACCTACCTGTCCACCTGGCTTTCCCAACGGGAAAACTGGAGGCGGGTCCCGACAGAAAACCCCCCCCCAACCGACAGAAGTGAGTCTTGTGGTTGGCAGGTCCCGGAAGACGAAGGAAATTGCACACGTTGTAGTTGGGTCATTTTCTTTGTTGGAACCCGTTGTCTGTGGTTTCAAAGGGACAGCAAGAAGCAAGAGTCTTGCGGCCGGCCCGTACACACACGGTGTTTGGGTCATTTTTACAGGGACACAGAAGGAGGGGCTTCTTTCAGGCCGTCAAAGACTGTCTCTGGGAAACTCCCGCAAGATAGAGCCTTTCCTTCTTTTGGACTTCGGCATGCGAACTACACCTTGGCCCCTGGTTGAAAAATCGCCGGACGATGGACGCTTGGGACCCGGGATTGAGCCAATAGAAAAAGCCTCAGGTTGCCCAGGCTCCAAAAGAAGACCCAGGAGTTGGGTGGCTCCCGGTCAGACCCATCTGGTTCCTCACCTTTCGGACTTTTTTGGGTGTGTTTGGTGGGAGTTTCCGCCACAAGTTGTCGACTTTGAGCAGAAAACGGGCAGCCCAAGATGAAACTCAGGAGTCCCGTAAGCACCTGGTAGTTGTTCATGCGGTTTTGGGATGGATAGAGTTTGGCCGGGGACTGACGTGCAACAAGACTGTGGATGGACGAAATCCATTTCGCACCACGGTGAAACCACGTCGAAACCATGAGAAACCATGAGAAACCATGAGAAACCATGAGAAACCATGGGAATTCAACATTCCAGGGTTTCTTAGGTGGTGCAGGATTTCGTCCATCCACATGGTGTTTAGAGAGAGGCATGGTACACGGCGCCCGTCTGGTTTTGCTCACTGGACCCCCTTTTGTTGCCGAGCAGCTGAGTTCTTGGGATCGAAGCACGTGACCGCATGCGAGGGCAGCTTTCCATGCCAGATGAGATATCAATTGAGGGGGGCGCGCTAGATCCCCAAAGTGCGGATCTCAAGCGACTGAATTTGACTCAGAGGGACTGGGTGGCTATCTGACCCAGCAGGACTCGTGGGGAGCTCTTGAACAAGATGGCGGAGAAGCTGTTTGCCGTGAAGCCTCTTGTCTTACCTATCTGCCTTTGCCAGTTTTGGTTTTGCTGGTTTAAAGAAGACCGGAGGAAGACCTTCCATTTTGCGAGACCTTCCACATTGACCTTTTCCTCCAGTGGCTGTTTCAACAACATCTGAGACTCATTTGGGCGTGTCTCTTCTTGAGGGTACCCTTTCTGGGGTAGTTTCCAAGGGAACCCGCATAGGACGGCCTTGTTTTTTTGGGTCGGCTGTTGTGAGACGAACAAAAAGAAACGCCCGGCGTGAAGCTGCACGAGGTTCGTCCCATCACCCTCCTGGTCCTGAGACTCTGCCTATTGAATGGCTCTGATCTGTTTTCTGTTGCCAGGGCTGGTTTTCTGGGGTAGACTGTGGATACATTTCTTACCATCTTACCAGCGACTCAAAGCGAAGCAACCACTAAACTATACATTCTATCACTAGGCCTATCTCTAATCATGTTTTTCCGTGGCCGCCAACTCAATATTGCAAGGGAAGAAGTTGGGCACCCTGCAAGTTCAATCATTGGCTGATGAAGTTGGGCACCTAACTTCAGACATTTGTGGCTGACTTACTTGCAAGGGCATCCCTACGTCGCTACGTCGTGTGGGCCTTTTTGGTCCCCTTCCCAGAGCCAGGGGAAGAACCTTGGTGCGAATCTCGAATCCGGTGCCTAGGTTTGTGGTGTTCTACTATCCCTTCCTCTTCACGCGGCTGGCTCGGCAAATCGCGGGTTTTTGTGTTGGGAATCAGCCAGCTGTGGGTTTGAGTCTACCTTGGGGGAGTCAAAAAGTGGAAAATCCTGCGGCAAAGCATGCTGCAGAGGCGGCGATGTTCTGCATGCCAGCTGGGCCAACTGAAGGAGCCAGTTGGCCAGTTGGTCCTAAACTTGGGGTCCGAGAACGCTGAGTCCTGTTGAGAGCAAACTGACGGCAGCTGCAACAGCGTGGATGCGAGTGCCCATTGGACCGTCGAATTCGCGATGAGACTGCAAGGGAACATGACCAGCTCGGCCCATAGGTGTCCTGTTGATGGGTTACTTTGATTAGACATAGATGGGTTCTGCTGGTTTTAGATTGTGTTTTGTAAGCCATGTACCAGGGACACCCTCCGTCATGTACATACAGGGGACTGGTAGCCCGCTCCAAAGCGACGCAGGGACACCCTCCGTTTTCCCAAGCGGACATCTGTGGCGCTGCTACCAAGCAGGATGCGCGCATGCGCGCTCTATATATTGGAGCCGGGTCTGTCGGGTCAAAGCAGTCAGCTTCCCGAGGATCCTCATCAGGCCACACATCACCGAGGCGGATATCTCCACTTGCTACGAGGCGTGGGCAGTGGGTTCGAAGGGTCCGTTGTTTGGCTTGGTCCCAGGGATGGCTTTGGACCCAGTCTGAGCGAACCGATTGCAGATGGCTGTCACGCCTTCCCGTTTTTCCAGTGGCTAAGCAAAGGAAACAGAGGGGGTCGATCGACCCAAAAAGACCGTCCTTGATTGCTTGGCCTGACGGATTTTCTCCAGCGAGGAGACCCGGCAGGTGTTTTTTTATTCTTCTTTTTTTTTGTTCCCGACACAACCATCACAGTTGAGATGCAGCAGGAGGCAGCAGACGAGAGGATGCTGACAAGCGGAAAGCAGCACACAACTGCTACGTAGTACGATTAGTTTACACCCAAGATAGTCGTTGGTTCTTTGCGGCTATTTATGGGGAACCGGGGACCGCAAGATCAGCCAGAACCACCGTTGTCCGACAGTTTCCGAGAGCTGCAGAGTCACTGGATCTTTGTTTCTAGTAGATACGTCGGTATTCAATACCCGAGTCTGTGCTTTCCGTTGTTTTGGGAGAGTTCCTGTTCAACGCAGGATGCACAAACGCACTTTGAGCCTTCTTTATTCTTTCTACCATAAGGGTCGGAAGGCCTCTGCTTTTTTTCCCCTGTGCATTTTTTCCATGCAAAAAAACACGCACTTCGAGCCTTTCCTTTTTGCGACCAGGGTCGCGTTTCGTCTCTGGGACGTCTCCCAGGAGTCTTGTGGTTTTGCTTGCTGGTGCGATAAGTAGGGAATGAGGGAATGACCCTTATCTCCCATCGGTTTCCTTTAAGGGAATCCCTAGGTTCATTCCCTCATTCCCTACCTATCGCACCAGCGAGTTTTCGGTTCAGCGCGGAGAGGCGCTGAGCAGTGACCTGCGGCTCTTCTTCATCACGCAGATCTGCAGCGAGGTTCGTCGTGCGAAGAGGGTGGCACGTGGGTTTTTGAGGGTGGCTCGCTTTTGGCGAAGAAGGGCAAAGCAAAACGGGGAAGCCGCAACATCTTTTTCTTGGGGTGGCCGAACTTTTTTTTTAAAGACAAGCCCGGGCGGTTTGGCTTCGGTTTTGCGTGTCTAGCGTTTTGTGGGATCCATTTGGATGGGCTCTGGTCTCCTCCAAATGGTTGGTGAAATGGTTATGATGTTTAAGGCGAAACCACCTCACAAGTTGCTGGTGGACCACCTTAGCCCCACCTAAATGTCCGGCAAAGGGCCCCAAATTGAAATTCATACTCAACATGGTTCGATAAGGGTCCAAACTTGGTTTGAGACCTGCCAAGGTGTGGCAAGTTGACCTCGAGAGGGCAGTGCACAGGTCTCTCTTCCTTGCAACCGCCTTGTAAGGCAGCTGGCCAATTTTCCACCTTTCGATAGGGGTTTCTCCAAATGGTGAACAAATTTGGATGGTTACAAGTTAAAGGGAACCCACGGTCATTTTCGGGTTCTAATGTGGATGGACGAAACCGTTTTTCCACCACCTAAGAAACCATGGTTGAAATCATTGTTTGATGGTATTTACAGGGGAATTGAGCCATGCCAGGGTTTCTGAAAGGTGGTGCGAAATGGATTTCGTCCATCCGCATAATTTTGAGAAGCAGCCTTTTGCAGGTGTGCATGCTTTTTGTCAACGTCGGCTCCTGTTGGTTCAAGGCGCGGGATCTCGGCTTCTGGAGGAAGTGGTTGGTTGGCACTGCGCTGCTTGGGGTTTGATGTTATTGTGCATCTCTCATCACCTTTCAGAAGCCCAACGCAACGATTCGATTCCCCTACGTAAATGCCAACAATGGTTTCTCATAGTTTCAAAGTTGTGCAGGATTTCGTCCATCCACAGTATGATATTATATTATAGTGTGATAGAACTAGTGATCCATAGATGCTTAGGGTCACTGTAATTATTTGGTACAATATATTACGCACCCGTCATCAGAGCCCTTTTTCGTGCCCATCCCTTTGTGGCAAGGTCTTAACGCATCTCATGCGCAACCCGGGGGTATTTGGAGGCTGAATGTTCATTCACGTCAGATCGCCTCGAGCCTCAAGAAGAAACCCTTAAGGGGAAATCCACACGCCGAAGTTCCGGTTCTGGGCTATTTGCGTATGGCAGGAGACCTTCCAAGTTTCGAAACCCCTTGAGTGACTCTCCCCTTTTTACCGTCCATGGTGCGCAATTCTGCTGGAAAGCAGGGTCATGAAGAGACCATGCCACGCTGCGACGCTTTTTCGTGTCAGGTGTGGAGGGAAACCCGCAAAGTTCAGCGGAATGCTGTATCGGGGAGATCATACACCTATCTGGCACCTTGGCAAGTTCAGTTTCGAGCGATTTGCTCCTTGGAGGACCTCCATGTAGAGCCTCGTTGGGCTATTGCATGGCTGCATGTCTGCCCTGCGCCAGAGTCGAAGGCGAAGACTTGGGACGAAAGGGTCGACGCAGTCCGGGTTCAAGGTGGTGCGAAATGGATTTCGCAACCATCCACCGTTGAGTCTTGGTTACCTTACCATAGAGTCTTGGTGTGCTGACCACATGCCGCGCATTGTGAAAAGTGCTCCGTTTCGGACCTAGCCGGGCAACAGCCCTTGGACAAACATGTGGCAAAGGACTGGGAAGATAGAAACGCCCGGTCAGAGTCCACGTTGCAACGGCAATGGACACCTTGTAGAAGTTTCTTGGAGCCGCAGCAAAACAGCACCTTTTGTTTTTTTGTTCAGAAAAGAGACGCCTTTGGTCCTGCATGTCAGAAAGAAATCGCCTGTTTTGTTCAGGAGTCAGCAGTCCTAGTAGACATGGCTGTGGGTCAAAAACACGTACCCCAAAATGGGTTGCCCTGGTCAACGGAAACGAGGACAAAAGCCGCGTAACCCTAGCTCTTTCATTTTGAGCCACACCCAGGCAGATGCCAATTGCCAAGCGGGTCAAGAAAACGTACCCAAAATGGGTTGCCCTGGTAGGAGTCAGGTACCCAAAATGGGTTGCCCTGGTGAATGGAAACGAGGACTAAAACCTGCGGTCCTCTGGTGGATTCATTTTGACCCATACCCGTGTGTCCAGCCGAGGAGTACCAAGCCAAGTGCCCCGACTACTCGGATGTTGCGCCTTGGTTCGTTTGATCGGATCTGTGTCGGTCGTTTTTGGGGAGCCGGAGCACCGAAACCCGTTTCCCTAGGGTTCAAACCACCAAAACAACGGGGGTCTATATAACCATCATTATTTACCTAAGGATTGTCATCATCCAAATTGGGTCAACCTTTGTTTTCATGGGGGTTGACCCCCAGGGGTGTTGGGGGGTCCAGGTTCCAAAAAAGGAAAGCCTACGGGAGCCGGCAACACGTAGTCTGCTTTGACCAGGTTTGTCATCCCATGATCTGCAGCGGCCCTTTTCCTTCTTTCTCCGGGGTCCTTTTTCTTGTTGCCGCCAAGGAAAATACGGATCATACCTTGTTCTACCAAAGACTCACCGGCATGTAATTAGGACCTGACCGCCCAGGATTTCATGAAGGACGTTCAGTTGCAGGTCATGAACTACGGCTTCCTCGTTCTGCCGCTTGTGCGAAGAAGAAGCTTTTTGCTTTTTCTGTTTTTCTTTCTGTAGTTTGTTGACTTGCGGGCTACTTCGATGCGGAGGGTTTGCAGTGTTATTTCGTTCGTTTGTGCCATGCCTGGCAGGGGATGTTTTAAACGGCCTCCATCTCTTGGACATTTTGCCATGCGAGAGGCGTGCCAATCATGTCTTCTGTGACTTGCAGCAAACACGTGCGGGGCAAAGTTTATACAGAGGTCCTTTTGTATATTGTTCATGGCTGCTCCGAGAATGCTTCAAGGCGGTGATTGTCATTGGAATCATTATCCTCCGCCTGTCCAGGAGTAACATAAGATTGAAGTCTGCAGACCCAATGAGAACGCTCAGTCTCGAAAAATCCTGAGAGTTGCTACTGTGGATGGACGAAATCCGTTTCGCACCATCTAAGAAACCATGGAATGATATGGTTCCCCTGTAAATACCAACAAACGTCGTTTTGGTTTCAGCACCTGCCGAGTGTTTCCTGCAAGCCCTCAGGTTTGGCGTTTGCTTGCCCTACGTGTGCCTTGGCTGCGGTGATATTCTTGTGCTTGGGTAGGGTTCCTTGGCAGACGTGACGCTTCTATTATGTGGGGGAGGATCAAATGACCCGAGTAACTTTTCCCATTTGCTGGAACATGTCATCTTTTAGTGGTTTTCCCCAACGGTCATCTCATGTATCACGGACGTTTTGATCAACCCCCACAGGAGCAATGGTCAAACGACCGGTTCCTTTACTTGGGGTTGACAGCGACAGTCATCCACGTTTTTTTTTTTTTTTTTTTTAACCGTTTCATGATTTGTGTTCGACCTCTGAAAGATGCACGATGGCGACCTCAACAGCTGGCCATGGGCCTGCTCAAGTACTAAAGCCTTCCTGCTGAGACTCTTCCCATCATGGCCTGGACTACCGCTCATGCACCGCGTATGGTCACTGTGGATCATATTTTTGAGTATTTTTGAATGGTTCTGAAACCAGAAAGCTTCATGTCACTCTTTCCGACCTCGGTGATCGATTGGCGTCACAACGCACATTACACAAAATTTACCGACTCGCAGATGTTTCGAAACAAACGCTCGGCCCGTTTACCATGCTGACTTTCACACCTCGGGATGGAAGCATTTCTGCTGATCGCATTTCAAGTGCTACCGAGCTTCTACCGCGTCTTTTTTGTTCGAGGCTCTTGTGCTTGAATTTCTCTTTTCAACTTGAAGCTGGCTTTCTGAAAGCGGGTATTGGGCGGCGCCTTGTACTCAATGCGGCCATCTGTAGCGACAGTTCGCCCACCATGTGTGTTTCTTGTGTGGTGCTTGGTATCCCGCCATGCGCGCAGCTGCGTAGCTTCTTAGGTGAGCATAGGGTTCACCTGCAACTCAGGGAGGGGTCGACACAGGATGAAGCGAACAAAGGAGAACGAAGGAGTTATGACCACGGCTCTGTTGGTCTGCTCTTACGATTTGTTCGCTTCTTCAAGTTGCGGCGGTTTCAACCACGGACCAGCAACCGTCACATTTGGGGTTCTGGTCTGGTTGGCGATCCACAAGTCTTTGGCTGCCACCAGTACAAGCAGATCTGGTGACGGTCATGGACGTTACATCATGATGAGGATTCCTGGTAATCTGCGCCAGATCTATTCAGCTGGCGCGGGGAAATTTTGTGGAAGATGCTCGGGTCCATCAGGTGCTTCATCTGCTTCTGCGTGAATTTCTTGCCATGGCCCCAGAGCCTTTGCCAAGTGTCCAGGGTGATCAGGGGCCCATGAAGAGGGCATCCCCCACTTAAAAGGCACCAAAAGGAACCTGACAGACCTTGACAACCATAGGTGTCCTTTTTGGTTGTTTTGGTCGAAACATAGGTGGCGATTCCTGGTTTCCCTGGTGGTTTAAGCAGCTATTTCCCCACCTATGTTGACCAGCATAGGAACCTTGGGAGTGAGCAGAAACGGGTTCCTCAGCGCCTGGGTAGGCGCAGCCCCTCGGCTTGCGAGGTTCAAACGAATGCTGGCGCCTGGTGCTCAGGAACCCTGCCACGGGGAGGGGGCCGCGGGGGGAGGGGGGGGCCCCCGCACGACTTGCGGGTTGGACAACGTGGATCTGCTCCCGGCTTCAAATCCTCCAAAGCTAAAACCGGAACTCTGAACGGAGGAATCTGCTGTGAGTCCGAAGAGTGCCTCGACCGCAAAAGAATGCGCCGCTCAGTACTGGAGTCCGGCACTCTGTGCAAGCCCAGTTTCACGAGTCCCTTGTGCAGGAAGAAATTCAGGCAGCCTCGCACAATCCCTCAGAAAAGGTGCCTTGAAATGGGTTTCGGTTGAAAATGGAGTATGTGATATGGGAAATGGGGATATGCATTGCAAGCAAGATATACTTTTTCAAGTATATGTTTTTTCCTTGACCAAGGCGTTGGCCATGGGAAGCGATGTGTCTTGTTCAGTTCAAGTTAGAGAGGCCTTTCCCCTACTGGCGTTTCCCCACGCCCTTAGGGTTGTGTGGCAGGAGATATCATTTTTGAAGTTCCGGCCTTTTGGATTGTTTTCAAAGGCAGCCAGCAGGAGGCCAAAAGGAAGACATCATACAAAGAGGGCTTCTTATTGTAGCTTTCAGCCAACTTTTCGGATCCATGCTCATATTTTCTGGAATGCCATTGACACAGATGGCGCATTTTGGGCGGATTCCTATTGTTGACACACGTAGATGCGCAAATTTGGCTTCATTATTATCTTGGGTTTCCCTTCTCGCCCTTGTACCAGATTCCTTCCCCCGCGAAATTATGATTGTTGTTTTCTCTT